TTCAGGCCGCATCACTCACTGCTGCAGCTCCTTCAGGCCGCATCACTGCTGCAGCTCCTTCAGGCTGCATCACTGCTGCAGCTCCTTCAGGCTGCATCACTCACTGCTGCAGCTCCTTCAGGCTGCATCACTAACTGCTGCAGCTCCTTCAGGCTGCATCACTGCTGCTGCAGCTCCTTCAGGCAGCATCACTCACTGCTGCAGCTCCTTCAGGCCGCATCACTCACTGCTGCAGCTCCTTCAGGCCGCATCACTCACTGCTGCTGAAGCTCCTTCAGGCCGCATCACTCACTGCTGCTGAAGCTCCTTCAGGCTGCATCACTGCTGCTGCTTGCATTACCACATGGCAGGCAGCAGACTTGCCTCAGACATGGTGTTTGAATTCACCTTATTTAACTAATGGTGTGTTTTCTGAAGGTACTGGTTAGGATTTTAAAGCCAAGGGTTGTATAATTTTGCAGTGTGTCTCAAGCTTGTACTTTCTTTTTCAAATGTATTTTAATAGACGTTTGGGTACATAAGAATGAATTAACTACATGCTTGAGGAACTAAGTTCCTGTTTACACAACATGTTTTTTTGAGTGAAACCGGAGTTTTTCTGCTGCGGTTCATCTGCTTGTGTACACAACACCAGCCCTTGCTTTCTCTGAAACCAAAGGTTTCTGAATCCTGGTCTCAGAGAAGAGGTTTTCATTGGAACCCCCAGGCAGAGTTGTGAAATACCTTGCAGGTGTGAAGTCGCACATGCTACAGGCGTCTGCAGTCAAAAGTTTTTCTGCTCAAACAGTTACAACAAATGGCAGAGAGCGGAGTAATTTTTGGGCTACCCTTTCAGCATGTAGGCACAAAACCAACAAAACCCTAGGTCCAAAGGACCGTTCCTGTATTCACCAGTTTGGATATAACTGAGATAGGGAGTGGTGGCACAAAGGTTAGAGAAAGTGGGCCTATGATAGGAAGGTCGCCGGTTCGATTCCCTGGACCGACAACATCAAAACGTGGGTGGAAAAGGTGAAACACGCACACCTGCCTCCACCCTCATTTGCCACACTCTGAGCCCTTGAGCAAGGCCCTTAACCCCCACCATCTGCTCCCCCGGATGCCCTAGATAGCAGCTCTCTGCTCCACACAGAGGGCTGTGGTAGCTCGGTGTTCTGTGGTTGTGTCAGGAAGAACATCGGCGTAAAAACAATCACCAAGTCTTCATGCGAGTTAGTTCACTGTGGTGACTCCTGAAGAAGGGAGCAGCCGAAAGAAGAAGAAAGAAGGCTATAACTGAGCTCATGCTGACACTGCATTTCTAGAGGTCGTTCTCGTGTAAACAGAGTCTAAAATGAACTTGTTTTAAATAACTAGCAGTCAGATGAGGGATCAAGGAAGGCTTCCACGTGATATAAATCTGACTGGCTTGTTGTCTAAACACCAAGTTTTGCTTTGGGTTTGTATTTGATTAAGTCATCCGGCTTGTTCCTCGGGTAGTTTAAATTAAAAAAAGAAACTAAATTGAATCATGAGTCATGATTCTCGTAAAACAAGTTAATCAAGAGCTCCATGAGAATGCATGTAAACAACACAGTAACCCAACAAAACAAGCACGCAGGAGATTTGACCTCGGAGCGATACGTTTCCTGACAGCTTCTCCTTCAGCAGTCGCCCTCTGAGCGTGACAGGAAGCCCACACCTCACAAGGTGACACGAACAAGAAACCAGAGAAAACCCAACATTCTAGTTCACTGCAGGTCATCCTGAAAATAGCACGTTCCTCAAATGTTTGGTCACTTTTGGCTGAAAAAACAAAACTCCTTAAACAGACCTTAATAGTGATTAATGGATTCTTATCTTATCCTGGGCACTCCAGCAGCTAAACAATAGTGTGTTTAAAACCCAGCCGGGAACTGCTGCCCATTCCAGTTTCCCTCCTTGTTTCCTTCCTCGCCTCATTCCCTCCCATCCTCCTGTCTTCATGATGGTACCTGGTGTTACACCTTCACGTGTTCTGGTTCGCCCCAACGTCTCTGCTTCCACCTCACAAAATAAAAGTTCCCTCAATTATAAAACTGGAATACATGAACACTGATAATAAAGCATTTACAACAAGCTGCGACCATCATTTTCTACATTTTATGACCATTACTTTTATTTCTTGGAGCCCAGATATGTTATTGGCAAACATTTTTTAAGTTCATTTGATTTGTATAGATCTTTTCAGGACATGTTCCCAAGTGACCCCATCTTTAGGAACCATGGTTCTAGTAGAGTCCAGTCTCACTGTAATCACACTGTTCTGTCTCAAACCTGAGGTGAGCGAACGAAAAAACAATAGTTGGATTTTATCTGTTTTCCCTCTTGTAATCAGAACTATATATTCATAAATAAATTCATTTTCTAACGTTAACAGATAATATTCGTGAGGACCTGTGTTTTTATAATTTATTGTTTACTCAACTTCCTGTCAGTTTAACCTCATGAAACTTTAATAAAATATTTAATGTGCAGGTTTCGCCTCTTTAAGGTCATTAAGTCTGTAGCTCGCCTAACTCAGAGGTCTTTGCTCAGAAACTAACTTGTCTCCATGTTTTTAGCTGCAGCTGTAAAGACAGGCTGGACTTACCATGTCTGTCGCGTGTCCCACTGTCCTCGAGTCGAAACTTTAAAGTGTCCCGAGCATTTAAAGGTCGGCTGAAACCCACTAAAAAAACTACAGGAAACGCAGATGACTCGTTCCGTGCCTTCACACCAAACTACGGTCGTAATAAAAAGGTGAACCGCCCCTGAGCTCTCGGTCCTCTTCGTGAAGTTTATACTTCGTCACTTTCGCTTCAGGTGGCAGCTGCGTGCGAGCCGCTGCGCGCGAGCCGCTCGACTTGTCACGATGCGTTCAGTGTCATCCCGGAAATTTGGATATTTAGGTTTTTTTTCCGGACACAACGACCGGAAGTCAGAGAACGATACCTCATTCAATGTCCGACTTTATTTGTTTTCACTCAGATGAAGTAAATGTCTCTTGTTTTCATTCAGTCCATGTAAATAGGAGGACAACAATATAGTTTATGAGAAATATTTATATTTCAAATTTGTCCATTTCGAATCGGTGTGAAACTGCATTTCCTGTCAAAACACTGACAGCTGCTGAAATTTACTGAAGAAGCTGAAGCTAAGTTGTTCAAGAGAAAAGAACCAGAATAGCAGCTAAAAGACAACAGTAACAACATGCTAGCCAAAAGCTAAATGTAGCAAAATTCATTCAGCTTTAATTTAGAGGACTCATTTACAAGAGAGACCTGTAAAAATACAACAAACAAAAAAAACAATAGCTAAAAGCTAAAGTAGTAAAAGGCTAACTGAAAGCAGGGCAAGTTTAGCTGAATCTAAAAGCAGCATAGCCAAATGCTTAAAGATGCAAAAATAAGATAAAAATAGCTGAATTCTAGCTAAAATACCAAAACACATGCTAACCTCTAGCTAAAAGTCAAATTGCAAAAGGCTAAAAGTAGAAAAAAACTAGAATAGTGTCAGCAGCTGAAACAGTTTTCAAAGAGCTCAATGTTTCTGAAGGAGTTAAGCTGATGAGGAAAATATTTGTAAAGTTATATATTTGGAAAAATATAAAAGTTATGAAAAGCACCCATCTCTACATTGTGATTACTAAATAACTTGAAGGAGTGAGACTTTTTTTTTTTTTTTTAGTATCAAAACCAACAAGAAAACGTTGGTTACGTACTGTAACCCCAGATTCTATGAATATAGGCGTAGCCCTTTAAGGCCTTCGCTTTAGTGGGTTTATCCCGTTATGCGCAGCATAAGCACTGAAAAAAAATTTAGTCCACGCCCACCTGCTGTGTGGGCCCCACCCGGTCCATATAAATTACGTTAAGAGCGGGAAATCGGCTCCCAAAATAGCTTTTTTCTTCAGCCATTTAGGAGCCAGTGAGGCCCGACGCTTAAAGGGCTACGCCTATATTCATAGAATCTGGGGTTACAGTACGTAACCAACGTTCTATTTCATATAGGCTTCGCCCTTTAAGGCTGTCGCTGATGGGTTAAGGGCGAAGCGGATGTGGTCCTCGCCTCACTGGGTCCATTCGAACACAGTAAGAAGCGGAAGCTTGCCCAAAAAACGTCTTGTCACTCAGCTCCCCGTGTGCATAACTACGCATCGCGTAATTATGTGCCATGCACAGACGCATGTTGAGTAACTATGCGTTCTGACAAAGCATGAACGCCCCGGAAAACTTTCACCGGGAAGAAGATGTTGAAAAGAGGGGGGGGGGGGGGGGCATGAACCAACTGGTTCATGGCTGAACAGTATAAATGGATTAATATCCATGAATTGATTATTGATCAAATGAACTGATTGGTAACAATAGTCATGAACTGATTAGTGACAATAGAACCAAAATCACAGACACGACTTGTGACTGATAACAACATCTCACACTGTAATGCATGCAGACAGAAGTGAGCTTAAACAGAGTTCCATGAGAACAACAATATTCATTCTGTTAGAGCACTAAGGACAGAATGTGTCATGGAACGAGCCGTTACATCACGTAGGTAAAAGCGAATAAATGAGCAGGGTGTTGACCATGCAGCCGCAGTGCAAATGTCCTGCATTGACATACCATTATGCAGAGCAGTCGAAGATGCGATACCCCTGGTCGAGTGTGCTTAGAGGTTGACAGGAGGCTCTAAATCTGATGCTCTGTAGGCTTCAGAAAAGGCCTCACACAGCCAGTGTGACAAGCGCTGGATGGATAACGGGCGACCTGCAGAAGCATCTCTATAATGCACAAACAATTGTTGAGTTTGAAACGCATTGCAGCTGTGCGCACTATGTAACACGTCAACGCCTGCACCGGGCAGAGAAGATGAAAAGATGCTTCCTCTTCTGATCTGTGGGGGGGGGAGAAACCCCTCCAACGATATCATACTTGATTTAAAAGAGCTCGTGGTGTTTTAGGCATAAAAGCTGGGTTTGGTCTTAAATCAGCTGAGCTGCCCGTCAGCCTAAATTCTAAAGCATGACGAAGCAACAGAGAGGGCAGATAATTACTTACCCTCTTAGCAGGTGTTAAAACCAGCAGCAGGGCTGTTTTAAGAGACAAGAATTTTAAGTGAAAACCTGATCCAGAGGCTCAATTGGAGCTTTGATCAGGGCTCGCAGGACCAGCGTTAAATCCCACTGTGGAGCAAGTGGACGTGAAGCAGGCCTGCGTCTCTGAACACCTTTTAGAAAAAACGCTTCATCAGCGGGTGATTAAAAGCTGTTCTGTCTCCGAAACCTTCGTGGCAGGAAGAGATGACTGCAACGTACGTTAAAACGTACTGAATGCCAACTTCCTATCCATCAGCTGTTGTAGAAAGACAACACGCCGCCTAAAAGGCATGAGGTGGCCTCTAAACCTTTCTCTGTACACCAGATGTTAGTAAGATGTTTGTAAGATGTTTGTAAGATGTTTGTAAGATGTTAGTAAGATGTTTGTAAGATGTTTGTAAGATGTT